TTTATTGAGATTAAAAATAAGTGTTGTTATATTATTTTAAAATATAGAACAGAATTTTCACAGATCCATATCCCATATGTTTAGAAAAATCTACTTTTGTGCAATTGTCCTTATTTTCCTTTCATATTATTTAATGAAATCTGTATGTACAAGAAAGGCTTCAAGGAGCAGAAATCTGAATTATGAAAAGATCACAGGAAGGCAAGGTGTTCTAGGGAGGAGGAATAAGATATGCAAAAGCATGAAAGCATTAAATAAAGTGGTAGGTATGAGAAACTACTACTGAAGCATAAAATACAGCTTAGGGAGTGGCAAGAAATGGGGTAGCTGGCTCATGAAGATGTTTGTTTATTGTGTAAGTAAAGGGAACAGCTTACTTTTAAATGAGATGTTCAGATATGCATTTGTAGAATCTCATTGTGGAGAGTACATTTTAGAGTGATAAGAATAGAAGGCAAGAGATGAGTTAAGAAGCTATAATAGCAGTTCGGGCAAATGATGATGAAAACTCAAGGTAAGCCAGTAGCTGTATGGGCAATAAAATAGATCTGAGAGATACTTGTTATTTATGGTTTCACATAAAACACAAGGCATACATTTTATAAGCCTGCACAAATACATCTATGCAATAGCTCCTGTTACTTGGGAATTTCTAAAGCCAGGAAGTAAAATTAAAAAGTTCAGGAATATTATTAGGTGACTGTTGCTATACAAATAAAAGTCTTAAGACAAGTGTGATTAGACAATGGATTTCTAAACCAAGGTCTATCATAATAATGCGTAGGAGAGCGTCCTAGTGAAACTGCTTCAGTATCTGGAAAGATTTCTTGAGTTCTGTTTTCAGTTGTCTCTTAGACACCTTCTCTTGTATTTAAATCAGCATGCTAACTTCATCCTGAGTCAACCTACACTCAAAATTGTCCTTTCCAAACCCTGATTTTCCGGACACCACAGTTTCTCAGTTGTCCAGTTTTATTTTATTAATTTAACTTTTTACTTTTTTTTTCCATTTTTTTATTGGTGCAACATAGTTGTACATAATGGTGGGATTTGTTGTTATATATAAGTACATGCACACAATACAACAAATTAATTTGGCCAATAACACTTCCTAGCACTTCCCCACCTTCTTCTCTTCCTCCTACTCCTTTGTCACTTTTCTCTTTGCTCCTGATCTCCCTTTGCTTTTCGCGAGAACCCTTTGTCTTTCCCCTTCCTTTCTTTTCCTTTTCCTCTCTAGTTTCCATATATGCAAGAAAACATAAGACCTTTGACCTTCTGAGTTTGGCTTATTTCACTTAATATAATATTCTCAAGTTCTATCTGTTTTACTGCAAATGACACGATTTCATCTTTCTTTATGGCTGAATAAAATTCCATTTTGTAAATATACCACATTTTCTCTATCCATTCATCCACTGATGAACACCTAAGCTGGTTCCATAGTTTGGCTATTGTGAGTCGTGCTGCTATAAATGTGGGCATGAATGTGTCACTATAGTGCAATGACTTTAATTCTTGATGATAAATGCTGAGGAGTGGTATAGCTGGGTCATATGGTAGTCCCATTCCTACTCTTTCTAGAAGCTTCCATACTGATGTCCCTACTGATTGTATTAATTTACAGTCACTAACAGTGTAAAAGTGTTCTCTCCACATCCTTTTCCAGCATTTATTATTGTTTGTATTCTTGATGTCAGTCATCCAGGTTTATATCTTCATTTTCATCTTTGACTTCTCTAATTGCATGCCAATCTAGCCCCACAATATCTCTTATCTCCGCATTACCCTTTCCTCCTGCCTTCAGGTTCAGCCTATTATTCTTTTTCACCAGGGCTCTCTCAATAATGTTCCTTCTTTTTATATTCTAGTATCACCACAGCTAAGCCATCTTACACAGTGTAGCTGGATTCAGTGTCCTGAACCAGAGTGTTGATTTTGTACTTGTTTCAAATTTGTCAAGCCTAGTGGAAATTTCAATTAATAAAATCATTTTAGAAAACCCTTTGGTATTATCTACTAAACATATATAAAGTTGAACATATTATACATATCCCATGTCTCATTCATTTCATAACTAGATATATATCCAAAAATGCATACCTATATGCCTCAAGAGATAGGCACAGGAGTGCTTATAGCAACATTGTTTATAATAACCCAAACCTGGAGTCATCCCAATCTAGTAGACTGGATCAATCAATTGTAGGGTGTTCCTATAAGCTGATATCAAATAACAATTTGAAAATGTCAGCTTTTTATTTCTTTATTTTTAAGAGCTTTATGGTTATATGTAGTGGGTTTGTCCTGACAAACTCATACATGCATAGAAATTGTTCTCTGTTCGTGATTTTCCCCCTTTTCCTCCAGTCCTCCCTCACTTCCTTTAGTCTGCTAGACTTCCTTTTGCTCACCTATTAATTTGTATTTGATTGGTTCTTTATGGTATCTTATCCTTCCTTTCCCCTCTCCTTTATTTTACTCTAGCTTCTGCATAGGAGAGAAAATATTCTACCTTTGAGATCCTGAGTTTGGCCTATTTCACCTAGCATGATATTTTCTATTTCCATCCATTTACCAGCAAATTCCATAATTTAATTGTTTTTAATGGGTGAATAGAACTCCATTATATAAATAAAGCACAATTTCTCAATCCATTCATCTGTTGATGGGAATTTGGGTTTATTCCACAATTTAGCTATTGTGAATTGTGCTGCTATAAACATTGATATAGCTGTGTCATTGTAGTATGCCAGTTTTAGATCTTTTGGGAAAATACCTACGAGTTGGATAGCTGGGTCATATGGTGGTTCCATCCGTAGTTTTTTGAGGAATCTCCAAACTGCTTTCCAGAGGGTTGTACTAGTTTACAGTCCCACCAACAATGTACAAGTGTTCCTTCCTCCCCACATTCTTGCCAGCATTTATTATTGTTTGGATTCTTGATCATTGCCATTCTGACTGGAGATGAAATCTTAATGTAGTTTTGAATTTCATTTCCCTGATTGCTAGAGATGTTGAACATTGTTTCATGTATTTATTGGCTTTTTGTGTTTCTGTTTAGTTCTTTGGCCAATTTATTGGTTGGGTTATTGTTGTGTGTGTGTGTGTGTGTGTGTGTGTGTGTGTGTGTGTGTGTGTTAAGTTTTTTGAGTTCTTTGTACATTCTAAATATAAATTTTCTATCTGAGGAGTAGCTGGCCAAGATTTTCTCTAATTCTGTAGGCTCTCTCCTCATGCTTTTAATCACTTTCTTAGCTGTGCAGAAGCTTTTTAGTTTAATGGCATCCCACTTATTGGTTTTACTTCTTATGTTTTGGGGATCTTGTTAAGGAAGTCTGTGCCAGCACCTATATAATGGAGTGTTGGCCCTATGTTTTAAAAGTCACCTTTTTAAAACAAGCAAAACTGATAAATCTTGTCAGAAATTAGGAGAGTGCATTATGTTAGAGAAAAGGAAATAGTTATTAGGAAAGAACAAGAGGGAACTTCTGGGTACTGTAAATTTTATATCACTTGACTTGGGTGGAAATTATGTGGTGTTTTTACTTAGTGAAAATAAAAATAAACAAATTCATATACATATATAAATCCTTTGATGGTTCCCTATTGCCTATGAGATAATGTCCAAACTTGTAAACTTTCAGGGCAGGATTAATCAATGATCTGCTCCAATCAAATTTTCCAATCAATATATTGAAGCTCATTTCCTCCACTATCATTTTCCCTTCATCCATGCTATGCTCTTTCTGTGGGACCCCTACCCTACATGTTCTACCTGAATATAACTTGGAAGAGAATTATTTCATTAAACTATGTCAGAATTAAAATTAGAAAATTTAACAACAACTTTATTCTCCAAGAAAAACTATGGCATTGTTAGGTTAAATTCTCTACTAAAATATTTTTTTTAACATATCAGGGCATTTTGAACTCAAGGCTCTGCTGGTAACATGGGATCAGAACTGACTTAAGCTTTGCCATGAAGCTTGCTGGTACTTGAATAAAATACTCCTCAGGAAAGACTGAAGCAACCCTGCCAGGTCTGGAAGCTTGATTCTATGGGATGCCTCTAAGGCTGGTGGACAACAATAAAAACCACAGTGATGAAATTATTTGGCCTAAATCTGGGTAAGTACTGATGTCTGTGCAAATCAGGTATAACTGCCAAAATTTCTAGTTAGGAATAATTCCACTGTAGGTTGCAATTGTTATGGCTCTAAGTGCCCAGTTCTGTGGAACAAAGCATTAGTTCAGTAAACAGGGAAGACACAGTATGCAGTCCTGTGAGAGAAATAAATGTAGCAGAAGGAAATGGGGTTCAAGTGTTGGCCAAGTGGGCCAAGCTAAAGGGAAGTTCTTGTATCTGACTGCAAAGTGGAAGAATGGGGAGCAAAGGACCAGTTAAACTCACGGGACAACTGTCATGACACTGCAGGGCACAGTTCTGAAGGCACCCTAAAACAACTTCAGCATGCTTAAGAACTATTTGGAAAGCTTTTTAAAATACAGGCTAAGGACTCTACCTTAAGGTATTCTGACTCAGCTCTGATTTCAGGCTCAGGATTTGCATTTCTAACGAGCTCCCAGTTGAAATATTGTGTTAGAATAACTATCGGGATAAAAACTAGTTTCAGTGACAGGCAGGTAGACCAATGGTACAGAATAGAGGACACAGAGACCAATCCACAAAATTACAACTACCTTATATTAGACAAAGGTGCTAAAAGCATGCAATAGAGAAAGGATAGCATCTTCAACAAATGGTGCTAGGAGAACTGGAAATCCATATGCAACAAAATGAAATTGAATCCCTATCTCTCACCATGAACAAAAGTTAACTCAAAATGGATCAAGGAGCTAGGAATCAAACCAGAGACTCTGTGTCTAATAGAAGAAAAAGTTGGCCCTAATCTCCATCTCATGGGGTCGGGCTCCAAATTCCTTAATAGGACACTGTCGCGACCCCTTGCCCGCAAGGAAGACGCAACTCGGGAATCTTCTTTCAGCAGTTTATTCAGGCCCTTGATATTTCTTCTTCTCCTTCTCGGATGCCCCTCCCAGCCTTAATAAAGCATCTCAAGCCCCAATGCAAAGCTGCCGCGTGGAGCTTTCTCACAGGGTGGTGTACAGGGTGGTGAAAAATCATGTGCCAACTCTCGCAGATAAGGAGTTGTTCGTCACAGACCACAGCGGAGCCAGCGTCATCTTGTAATGGCGACCATAATCTGCAGAAACGGCAGAAGCGGCTCACCACAGTTCCCCCCTTTTCTGTTTTCTTAAAACAATACAGGCGAGAGTAGAGGTCCTATCCCACTGTGCAGAAGTGGCTGCAATGTATGGTTCAGTCCTAAGGAGGTGCCTTCCCCAGACCTGACCCCATATCAGCCAACGCCTTTTTTCGTAGGGCGGGGCGTGGACGTCAAACCCGCATGCAATAGGACATGCTTTCCTTGAGGTCCGTTGAGGGATCACTCAAGTGCAGTGCCTTGCCTCGCATCCTGCATCGTGACGACGGTGAGAAGTAGGATAACACAAGTAGCCTGGTAATGATGACAAAATTTAAGTTGGCAACACAATCCCTAAGCCCCAGAGGAAGGTAAAGAGTCTGTAGCCGAGAAGAAAGACCAGTCCTGAAACCCATCTGCGTGCAATGGTAACAAGACCTGCAGAGTGCAAGGGCTATTCAGCACTGTGAGAGAATAAAGAAGAGGACATGCCAATCCCAGTGCAATGTGAAACTCACTTGGGGTGCAATGGCCATGCCCAGAAATCACTGTTTAAGATGTGCAAGCCAGATTTGTGGAGAAATGCCATTTTCTAAGGCCGCAAGAGCCTGTACAATCATAGCTTTCTCTTGCGCATGGCGAGTTTTAAGGCGACAGAGAAGCCACAAACAAAGTACAACACCGAAGCAACACATTGCCCCAAAAATGCCTACCCCCACCCACTCTTTGAAGAAGGAAAAAGCAGAAGATATCCAATCGGTGAATTGACCCAAAGTCACAGGATCGACACGGGTACTGTTCAAAACGGCATTCTGAGTTAGTTGAGACTGGATCAAGTTTTCCGCTGCCATGGACCAATTTCCGGCCAAATATTCGCCAATGATGCGGGAGGCATTCCTGGAATCATTAAATCTGACAGAGGTTATGCATAAATGTGCACGTTGGTCAACACAACCCAAATGTACTAGGTCAGACAATTCCTCAACTTGAGCTTGAAGCAGATCTATCCTTTGATTATCAGCCAGAATCCCAGATAAAATATGTTGATTAATTCTACTTTGAGATTCAAGTATGGTGGATGTTTGTTGAATAACCTGATTAATAGTGGCAGCAGTTTGTACCTGGCTGGCCATGGCTACTCCAGCTGTAACTGCTGCAGCAGCAGATATCGCCACAGCTGTCACCATAGCTGCCATAATTCCAAAATCTCTATGGGCTCCAATCAGTTCAACAATAGGAAATGACTCTGGATCTGCAGTAACCGGGATCGGGACAAAAGTTGGAATTTTCATAACCATTGCCATAGGCCAGGATCCATTCCAACACTCAGACAAATAACAGGTAATATTAGAGCAATTAAGCATCCCCTGTAATGTAACATTAGCCAAAAGAAACAGGAACGGAGATTGGAGACAGACTGCTGCGGAGGGTAATGTAGCATTAGATAATTGTGAATTATTTGCAGAAATTTTAAGCCTCCTACCTCGCTCCGAGTCTTGGGTACTGCCAGAAACATTAAACAGCCAACTTTGGACTCCTAATATTTCCCTGGGGAAACACAAGCGCGGACTAGACTAGCCCAATCTGAGGGAGTCATGCAAAATCTAGTAAGTCCCTCCACCTGAGTGAGAGTGAAAGCGGCATCTATGCCATAAGTGCGGACAGATTCTGCCAAGGTTTTAATTATCTTAAAGTCTAAAGGCTCATGATATCTTCCCCTGTTATTGTCCTGAAATACAGGGTATGCAAGTCCCATATCTGTATTAACTGTCCTCCAAACTTGTGCATGAAAAGATCTCCTGGAACCTTGGCTCCCCCCCACATACGGAGGTGGGGCAATCGGCACCATATCTTCTTCTAGATATTCTACCTCCTCCTCCTCAGAGTTTTGTTGACCAATGTTAACTCCCTTCCCCTTCTTACAGTAGGCCTGGGTGCCCTGTGTCTCCTTTTTCTTCTTTTTCATTTTTATCTTATGTAGTTGTTGTAACAATATATCAAGGTCCTCAGAACTCTCTGAGTCGCTTGTGTTCTCAGGCGTTTTTAATTCGGTCAAGTCTGGGTAGAGCCTTCTCCTATTTTTATCTTCAGGCTCTTTTGCCTTCTCACTACTGTTACTTTTAATACTCTCTGCCACTTCACTACATGATCCTTCAGATTTTTCCTCATGCAGCTGCTCAAGAATAGCTTGACCCTCACTTACAGCTTCCTGGCATTTACCATCTGTTATACATCCTCTAACTAACTTCCAAAGTGGTATAACGCCACCCTGCAAGGTACCTTGCTCATGAGCGAAATCTAGATCTTTCCCTAATTTGTCCCAGCTGGGAACCGTAAGACTCCCTGAAAAAGCAAACCAAGGAGCCGCTATATCAGCTTCTCTTAAAAACATCTGCAAAGTACTCTGCTTTATCTTAAGTCCTTTTGAATGTAACAACCCATCTAGGGCCAACAAAATTGGGCTTGAAGAAGCAACGCCCATAATGTTTTTAGAGCTATAAAGAAAGTGAAAGTACAAAAGTCCCCGCTCTCTTCCTTTTACAGGGGAGCGTTCCGTTCTATGAATTCCCCGCTCTCTTCCTTTTACAGGGGAGTGTCCCTGTCGTCACAACAACAAAAGAAGCACAAAAAACAAAAGCGAAATGACACAACAACAGAAACACAGAAAACAAAAGCGAAAGTACACAGTGCAGCTGCAATAAAATGTAATGCTCTCTCTTTCTTTACAGAGGAGCTGCCCCGCTTTGGTCGCGGATCCCACTTACCTGGGACTAACCCCGCTTTGATCGCGGATCCCACTTACCTGGGACTAACCGGTGCACCACCCCTGACTGCTGAAAGTTCTGGTTCCCGGGTTTCGGCACCACTTGTCGCGACCCCTTGCCCGCAAGGAAGATGCAACTCCGGAATCTTCTTTCAGCAGTTTATTCAGGCCCTTGATATTTCTTCTTCTCCTTCTCGGATGCCCCTCCCAGCCTTAATAAAGCATCTCAAGCCCCAATGCAAAGCTGCCGCGTGGAGCTTTCTCACAGGGTGGTGTACAGGGTGGTGAAAAATCATGTGCCAACTCTCCCAGATAAGGAGTTGTTTGTCACAGACCACAGCGGAGCCAGCGTCATCTTGTAATGGCGACCATAATCTGCAGAAACGGCAGAAGCGGCTCACCACAGGACACCTATAGCACAAGAGTTAAAATCAAGAATCAACAAATGAGATGTATTCAAACTAAAAAGGTTTTTCTCAGCAAGAGAAATAATAAGTGAGGTAAATAGAGAGCCTACATCCTGAGAACAAATTTTTACCCCTCACACTTCAAATAGAGCTCTAATCTCCAGAGTATACAAAGAACTCAAAAAATTAAACAACAAAAAAATAAATAACTCAATCAACAAATGGGCCAAGGATCTGAACAGACACTTCTCAGAGGAGGACACACAATCAATCAACAAATACATGAAAAAATGCTCACCATCTCTAGCAATCATAGAAATGCAAATTAAAACCACCCTAAGATACCATCTCACTCCAGTAAGAATGGCAGCCATTATGAAGTCAAACAATAACAAATGCTGGAGAGGATGTGGGGGAAAAGGTACACTTGTACATTGCTGGTGGGACTGCAAATTGGTTCAGCCAATTTGGAAAGCAGTATGGAGATTCACTGGAAAGCTGGAAATGGAACCACCATTTGACCCAGCTATTCCCCTTCTCGGACTATACCCAAAAGACCTAAAAAGAGCAAACTACAGGGACACAGCTACATCAATGTTCATAGCAGCATAATTCACAATAGCTAGACTGTGGAACCAATATAGATGCCCTTCAATAGATGAATGGATAAAAAAATGTGGCATTTATACACAATGGAATATTACTCAACACTAAAAAATAACAAAATCATGGCATTTGCAGGGAAATGGATGGCATTAGAGCAGATTATGCTAAGTGAAGTTAGCTAATCCCTAAAAAACAAATGCCAAATGTCTTCTTTGATATAAGGAGAGCAACTAAGAACAGAGCAGGGAGGAAGAGCATGAGAAGAAGATTAACATTAAACAGGGACGAGAGGTGGGAGGGAAAGGGAGAGAGAAGGGAAATTGCACGGAAGATGGAAGGAGACCCTCATTGTTATACAAAATTACATATATGATCGTGTGAGGGGGGAGTATAAAAGAGAGAGAAATGTGTCACAGTAGATTGAGTAGAGAGAGGTGATGGGAGGGGAGGGGGAATAGGAAGGGCAGAAGAATAAAACAGACACTAGTATTGCTGTATGTATAAATGTGGCTGTATAACCAATGTGATCCTGAAATCTGTACACATGGAAAAATAAGAATTCGTACCCCATTTGAATTAAATGTATGATATGTCAAGATCATTGTATTGTCTTAAGCAACCAATAAAAAAAGAAAAGAAAAGAAAAAAAAAAAACTAGTTTCAGTTCCAATCTCCCACTGAGGGCATGATATTGAACATGCTCCTAGCCTTGTTCAAATTTAGTTTAGGGACTTTATGGGCTGCACAAGATGGGGATATCAATTCCTATAGCACAAGTTAGCAAGTGGTTGTAAAAACAGAGTAAGTACCATCCCTAGTTTGTAGAATCAGATGAAAATTTTGTGCCTGCTGTTCTAACCAACTTCCTAGAGCTTGCATGTGAGGTTTCAGGATGGGGGAGGTATTGTTAGCATCTTGTAGGTAGAACAGATGCTGCTGTTGAACATCCTACAATGCACAAGACCCTACTCTCCCCCCACATACACACCCAAATAAAAAATTATCCAGGCAAGATATCAATATTGCAGAGATTGGAAGCTCTATTTAGCAATCTATTTATTTGATTTAGAATTTTCATTTGTGTTTAATATCAGGTTGTACAGTTCATTGTTAGCAGAGTTATCTAAATGAAAGCTAGCCATATTGAATCAGCTTAAAATAGAAGAAACATGTGTTCTACAAAATAAAACCAAAAGGCAGATAACTAATAAAGGAGATGGGGAAGAAGAAAGAAATTGTTCAGGAATATTAGGTCAAAGGGATTTTCATTAGTAGAAAACAGGACCTTTTTGGGAAAGGAGTGATGAAGGCAGGTGCCATGTTATATGTATGTCACTTTGTGGTCCTGGACTGAACTGTCTTTGAAAATACTTGGCTCAATACATGTTAATATAACATGAATAGAAGTGATTAGTCCATCCTCTCTTTAGGATTTTTATGGATGAAGATGTTAAAATAGTTTGTCAGGTTTTTATCTAAAACTTGTGTTGGTTAATCACTTTTCCAGTTAACAATTCTATTCCATTAAAAAGAACACTCTGAAAATAGTTAAAACCATAAAATCCCAGATATATTTATCCTTACATCCAATAAATGTTTTTTAACTTATATTTAGTCTGATTTTTCCATTGTTAAAGATAGAAAACAATTGTCAGGCAGTTGTTTTATTTTTTAAACCAAATAACATTTACCTCTCATTTTGTCAGGCTAAACAATCTCCTTTTTTCTTAACTTTTTATTTTCCACTTGAAATAGGATAGTTGTATTTATTTGAGACTTCCCTCATCTGTCCAAAGTCATACTTTTGTTTTAAGACTATGGGGCAGGAGATGTAGCTCAGTGGCAGAGTGCTTGTCTAGCATGTTGGAGACATGGCCCCCACCCCACACAAAACACCCAAACAAAAGCAAATATAATTTAAAGACTGTAGAGAGATACAGTATTTTCTAGATTTATATTTAATGGATTTTTCCACTTTTTTATGATAGGTTTTTCGCTATTCTCATATTTTTTGTTGCTCCAGGAGGTAGGGACATTTGGTCATGTTTTATAGTTTAAGAAACTGTCTTAGAGAGTTTTAGGAAATATATCCAACTTCATATAGATTAAAAATGGCAGAAATAAGCTTCAAGTTCAAGAGAACATTCTGTTTTATGGAATAAAGTGTGGCCCAATTCTAGAATTGAAAGAAAAGTGAAGACCTTAAGGGAAAAAAAAAAGAAAAGATTTAAATTCAGATTTTCTTTTTCCAGTTCCAGGAGTCATTTGATTAAATAATACTCTTTAGAGCATGAAAATTATGTCTTAAGTTTTTGCCTATTTGACCAATACTAGAGAGTTTAATTCCATTATTTGATTATTAATAGTGAGTAGCACCACATTAATGACCCAGCTCTAAACTGGAAAATAGGTATCAAAACTAAGAGTGAAAGTTGCATAGTCACCATGTTTGTTTCACACTGGATATTCTCAAGGCCATAGCAAGATTCACAAAACAGGGATCCAAGATTGTGGGCCAGAGGAAGGCAGCATTCTGTATCTGTCTGTGACCCAGGTCTCCATGACTAGTGGGAATATCACTTTGCTGAGAGTGATAGAGGACTCCCCACCGCTGCTCCCGCACAGGAATCAGGGCTGCTATGCCCCGCAGGGTATGGGGCCTGACTTTTAGAATAGGACCTGACTACTCACCCACACAGGTCTCACAGGTGCCTCAGAGGAACCACCAGTATCAGCACCAGCACAGAATTCCTAGCTTCTCCTATACACAACACTCAGTTGCTACCCATGCGCAGGAACTCCAGCCCCACTCCTATGTGGACCCCCATCTACCAATGTGGGGCTCCCCTGGTTGCCACCATCTTTGGACTCCACAGCTACTGCCATAGTTCCCAACTCATGGTACCCTGCTTGCACCTGGGGACATCACATGCTCTGAAGAAAGCCAACAGCTGCAACACTGCATGCCACAGAACTCATCTCTGAATGCATAGCACAACACCATTGTCCGGCTCCCCCCATCTAATCCAACACCCCATTGCTGAAAGCAGCTGCCGCCATCTTGGGTCACCTCCATCACCATCTTTAGTTGGGGCAATTACCAGTTTGGAATACAGGATAGCCAGGTATCCATAGTTTTCTAATTCCCCCCAATCCCCAGCAGCCTCTAACACAGCAGAGTGACTGCCCAATACAAAACAGCCCTCCATGACAGATGCGCAGCCACCAGAGTACAACACACAAGACCCCCAAGAGAAAGGTTCCTGATTAGGGAGTAGAAAGGGAGAGGGTGAGGGAGATACAGTTTAGAGACTAATTTAGAGGGCAGGAACTGTGAGGTCTACAGGTGAGATGAGGAGACAAAACCCAGTGCCCACATCACTGGAGGAGACCCCAAAGGAGATCCTTGAGGTGCAGTCTCCCAACTGAACCTGCAGGTGCCATACACCACATCCAAGTGTCCTGCACCCAAGACCAACCCTCACACCCTGGTAACCCCCAACATCCTGAGATACCAACTAAGAACAGACAACCCCACCTATTGGATGAGAAGGAAAGTAGGAAAGATACTGATTTCCAACCAAAACAATCCTTGTTTCTTCCTTCGAGATTTTTTTTCCTTTCTTCTTGCTCTTTATTCTCCTGCCCTCACATCCCCAACATATGTGAAACCAATGAATTAGGATGTAGAGGTCTGAGACAACTGAAGAATATATTACAGTTGTGTTGTATATATATTTTTCTTTTTTTCCAATTTTATTTTAACATTTTTTATTTTTTTAAATATATATATGTTTGTTTTATGTACTCTACTGTATTCCCTCTTACTTGTCTACCCAAAATTACTACCTCTCTACTCTCCTGCTACTAACCTTCTTCTTTAGATTTCTCTTTCACACTTCCTAAGATATAATAACTCTATATGCTCATTTCATACTTCCTCAGCATATCTTCCTATACCTCACCCCTGGCTCTTTGTCTACCATCAGAAACTGTAAACCATGTTATAAACCTACTGATTATGTTGTAGATAATAATTGAAATCATGATTTCTGTACATTGTGACCAAACTGTAAATGTCTTAATAACAACTATTTGTTTTTAGGTGGTATTTTGTTTATATTGGGATCTGTTAACATTGTACTTCCCCTCAAAGGAGAGGTATTAGAACCCTACAGTGGCACTATAAACCTATAGGGTAAAAAACAGTAATGCCTCGGATCTACAGAGCTAGAAAGGAAGACACACAATCAACATAAAAGACAAGGGAGGACAGTGCCCCAGTCAAATCAATATACTACATTATTAGAATCCATGGCCAGCACAGCAGATAAAATGACAGAGAAGGAGTTCAGTATGTACATAATTAAAATATTCTGTGAATTAAAGGATAA